CCGGCGGGGCAGAGAGGCTTTCCCGGGGTGCACGCGGCCCGGCCCGGCCCGGCCCCGCTGTGACGCGCGCCATGAGTTTAGGGCGCCCCCGGCCCTGGCAGGTGGATGGCGCCGGTGGCCCGGAGCAGCGAAGTAGGGACGGGGTCATCCCGCTCCACCCCATCCTGTACAGCGGTACCCTGAGGTCTGCCGAAGACTAGCATCGTTATAAAAACAACTGTGGAGCTATAAAAATGAAGCCCCCCTGCGCCAAAGCCAGCGCTTGACAATGCCAGACAGCCAGTTTCTTTCTGTCCAGCCCTAGTCTGAACGTGTGGCAGGGCCCTGTGTCAGGGAGGCAAGAAACTGGCCTGGCCCAGAAAGGGTGAGGGTGGGTGATGCCCCCGTCATGGCTGCAGGAGTTCATCCTGCTCTCTTGGGTTGGCCCCTGAGAAAGTTGATGTCCACTGGGATGAGCTTTGTCCTTATGTCCGAGGAGCAGCCTTGGTGTTCGCCAGGCTCCTTAGATGCCCAGGCCAGTGAGGACTTTGAAGACAAAGATGAAGACCTTGAACGTGATTCAGTTGTCTGCGGGGAAAGCAGCATAGAGAACAAAAGGCAGATTTCATGCATGGATGGTAGTTAGGGTTGCTGAGGTGATGCACTGCATTTTTCTGTACCTGTCAGGAGTTTCTTACTTGCTGAAGGCTGTCCGCCAGCATCTTGCACTACAGAGGTCTAACTGAGGGGTAATGAATCCATGAGTATCTGAGGCCAGTTAATTGTCTGCCAGATGGAAATGGCATCTCCTAGCCAACTGAAGATGGTAGAAAGAATTGCTCACAAGTGGTATGTAATTGCATATGCACAGCTTGGTGCAAATGTGTATGCAGTTTTATGTCTAATATTTAGAAGAGATATAAACATGACTTTTATTTTAGAGTACTGTAATAATAAAAAATAAAAGTCAGGTGAAATATAACTTTGCTCAGGAGAAGTGTGTAAACAGATTTCATAGATCAGTGAGCTTGCATCCATCCTAGTTGGGTAGGATCAGGTCTTCAGGCATTTTATGGAAGCTAATAATTGAGAAAGTTGATAGCCCAAGGTGAAAGGTGTTTTGAAATACTGGGAAGTTGAAGGAGTGGCAAGGTACATTCTGAATTAAAAACCCCCCATAAATGGCTGCCATTTTTTAGAGCATGAATATTCCCCGGTTTCTATGTACTTGTCTAGCACTAGGCAATTTCCTATTACTGTATCAGATACTATGTTGAACTTGTAACCAAGTTAATATGCTCATTTATAATAAAAGTATTTGTCTTTCTTTTCAAGAAATAAAATAAATATCTAGATTTTAGTGACAGAACTTTTTTTTCTAATGACCATTTCCATTGTAAGTGAAACTATCATTTCATTTCATCTAAACAGATGTGCTTTGGCAGGATAGGTTCTCAGTCACTGTACCTAATTTCCCAATTACAAATGTGGTGAAACAGATACAACCTTTATGGTAGGTAGTCCTAAATAATACTTTTATCAATAGGGTAATTGTGTCTTGATTGAAAATATTTTGCTTGGACAATCTGAAATAATCTTGTCAATTATTTTAATATGTCTGATTGCTTATTGAATAATATCAACATGTTTACAAATAAGATGGATTTTGATCTGCTGACCAAATCTCTTAGCTTTGTATTCAACTTGTATACAACTCTGCTGTAATTAGATTAGCAAAATGCAGTTCTGAATATGTAGGTATGGGTTTTCAGTTGAAAATGCATTTTTTTCTTTACTTGGACACTTAGCTTTCTTAAATATCTTCACACTAATATTACAGTCAGAAAACAGTAAAGCCTTTCAACATTATATTCCTTTGCCACTGTGGAAAAAACAATTTTCTGATAAACAGTGGGTTGACACAGTTTTCAGTTGGTATAATAAAGCATGCCTCTGCATTTGTTTTAAATCAAAATTTCCACTTTGATTAGCAGGTAGGCAGTTACAAAGCATGCTGAACCAATGGGATGTTGTGAATAGTGATTATTTGCATGGCTTCCATAGTGACGTTGCTAAAAGCCCCAAGACGCCAGACCCCATGGGAACAGTCAAGTTTTCTTTAAAGTAAATATAATGAGCAGGGATCCTAGTTTTCCAGAGAGAAAAGGGGGGAAATCTCAGGAAAAAAACACAAAAGCCTGTGTTTTTCTGTGGGTAAAATGAAATTCGTAGGGACTTACTGAAACTGTGGCAGAAATGTGAAGCATGAAAGGCGGCAGCTCCTTTATTCTTGCTTTTCTTGCTGCCCCCCCCCCTTTTTTTTTTTCCCCCCCCCCCCCCCCCTCCCTCCACTGATTGGCAGCAGGGCCCCAATGGCCCCACGCCTTGCTGCTCATCCATGAGAGACGAAACTGGGGCAGAAACATGGTTTTTGCCTCTTGCCCATCCAAGGCAAGGCATGGGGCCCCACAGCCAATTAGCAGCGGGAGGGGGAAGGGGCGCGATGGACAATACATGCAAAAAAGCAAATTTTGCTTTTTTTCCTGTGGTTTTGCTCAGGAAATGGATTTCAAGCATCCCTGAGGAGTCAGTAATCTTTCTGTATTTTAGTGGCAGTTAGACTGGGTTCTTGAAGTGCTAAGGTGTCTCGTGAAGCTTATGAAAAATTTAAAAAATATATTAATTCTTCACCCATATGCTGGAGAATTAGGAAGGCACTTCCTTTAAACTCTAGCTCACCACTTGTAAATCTCCAGGCGTAGATGGTGAGGTGGAAGGAAGATCACTCCATCCCAACTGTGCTTATTTTTCTTTGTTGCTGGGCAAGAAGAATGAAGATGAGGACGATGTGTTGTATATGACTGCAGCATGGTACAGGCTAACAACTTGCCCTTCTGAGCAGTTAAATTATTATTTTTTTGAGCATAGATCCACACAGGAGACTATATTTTGGTGAGTGTCACTCCCACAATGCACTGCACAAAGCAGCTGACTTCAGGCTTGCACCACACTTATCACATAAGAGTGAATTTACCTCACATACAACAACTTTTTGGTATAAAAAGGGTCATCGCATAAGAGCAAATTTGCACATGCAGAACCTACAGAAAGTGAGGGAAACCTGTACTTTAGGGGCCTGCCATCAACTGAAGGGACTATTTGTGTACGTAAAATTAAGCATGTATGAGTTTGCAGCATTAAGGTCACTTAGAACGGTGTTTCCCAACCCTTTTCGAGTCACAGCACACTTACCTAAATAAAAAAGTACCACAGCACAGTGGACGCATAGCGGGGGAGTGGCGTGCGGCCAGCTAGACACCGATCGGGGGGGGGTGCAGCCAGCAGATGGCATTTTGGGTTGGAGCCATGCCCCCTGTCTGTCTGTGTCCGCAGCAGCAGTAGGCGGGGGGTACGGCTCCAGCCCAAAATGCTGTGGCACACCGATTGGGAAACACTGACTTAGGAAATGTTTCACTGTATAAAGGAACATGTTTTTAAGTATCAGGATTTTGGAGGGTTGGTTATTTTTTTAATAGGAAAATTGTACTGAAGCCTTAATTTTTTGTCTGCATTCTGACTCATGTAGGGTAAATGTAGTAGGTTGTATATTGCAGCATCAGATCCTTGTTTGGAGCGTATCCTGCGACTGGCCAGAAAATATGCCATTAATATCATTAGTTCCATGTGAAATCCAGGATATGCAGTGTCTTGGTGTTAAATGTATTCAGCCCTTGCTTATTAGGTAGTGGTTGTCCTGCACTAATTCAAAGCACCACACCCTTCGGATTATCAGCATTTTGTGTACACTGCATTCACCCACCTTTGTCCTCATTTTATGCTGAAATTAATTCACTGAACAAGTTCTGAGGTGACCTTATTTTCTCCAGACTATAGACTGCAAGGCCAGAGTGACTGCCTCTTGGGGGAAATTATTATTGTTATTAGTTGCTAAACTGATATTTCTAAAATAAAAGTTAACAGTGTTCTTCCTTCTCCCTCCGTATGCTCATAAGCCTGTAATGGGTATGACAAGTTAGGAGATTCTTGCCCAGTAGAAGAATGAATATGGAAATATTGCAATTGCTCAGTCACCCTTTTATAAGTGCAAACTAAATCCAGGTACCTGGAGGGGTTAAAAATAAAGTATAAAATAATATGGGGCAAATGATCCCATCTCCTAAGAAGAACAGTAGTCATCCTCAGAGGAGACTTGTAGTGTTCTCCCTAAAGAAGGAAGAAACCAGTCTTGAAATCATCTGGCAAGTAATAAGCAAGTAATATGTTTGCAACCCTGTCTATCCCAGAGGATCTACATAATGCAGCTGTTTTCCCTCGTTTTTCCTATAACAACACAGCTCCCTCTCACAGAGTGTAAAAAATATTGTGAGTGCAATCTAGACTACATCACCTATTTGGAAGGGTGTCTTGGTGCATGGCATTCACTGGTGATGTCGTCTAGATCACAGGGAGCAGAGAACAGATAGTGATTTGGACAGATGAAGGCGCATCCTGGAAGCACATCTGGAATGGTATGATCTGTGCATCAGCAGG